AAATAGTAGGCAGGGTTTGACACATGGTGCACGAGCCGGAGGCGAGTGAACTATGTGTCAAACCCAGCTATTTAGGCATAGTATGCATAATGCAACACTATTGTTATTATTATGCTGACTGTTTTAATTATTTATGCGGCAATCCATTTGAATTTTTCCTGAAAATATCGGTGCTAACACAGCGCACTTGCAAGAACTCATTCAAAATCTTCATGCTAAAATTGGTTGCATGCTTGGTTATTTTGGTTACTAGTATTTTCTTATATCATTTTCTGTCCCAAAGCAACTCATCTTTATTTTCTGTTTTGTTAGTAAGTCATTGATAATTGTCTTTAACATCCTTCAATCAAGCGTCATATAAAAAAGCGTTTTAATGACCCAACGAAATCAGTTCAACTAACGATCTGTATGTAATTAGTTTGAAACTTTGTTGTACATATTAATCTAAGGTTCCTTAGAATAATATAACTGTTTTTAAATAAAATTTGTCTATTTTCTCCTTCTTGTGTCAATTGTATAAATTAAGTTTATATATTTTATAAAATTCTACCAATCAGTGATCGTCTCTGTGGCGTAATCGATAAGGCATCGGACTGACAAGCTCATGGTCGTAAATTCGATTCCCGGCGTATGCACTGAAGAATTTTATTCAGTAAATAAAGCCGTGCACTATTTCGGCATAGTATGCTTACGCTGTATAAATTTTTTAAAAATGGGTTATAAAATGACAGGAAGCATAATAATAATCAATATTCTTATATCATCTGTATGGTGTTTAATTCTCAACAAAAAGCATGGCATCAATTCTCGAAAGGGATTGCAGCATTTTTTAAAAATTAAAATCAAATTTAAAAAAAGAAACAGGCTTTAATTGGGAAATAAGTTGATATTTCAGAACTTTCAACAATTCATATTTGCAAATATTACCGTCGAGTGTTTTGATGGCATATATCTTTCCTACGGCTTGTCAGGCAATATGTTTCTATGATTTATATGGAACGCCAAATTAACATATTTTCAAATATTTGTACCTATTTTCAAATAATTGTACCTATTTTCAAATGAATTGTACATATATTTAAATCAATTGTACCTATCTTCAAATGAATCAGAGATAGGTACAATGCAATTATACCTATCTTTAATTCATTTGAAGATAGGTACAATTGACTTGAAGATAGGTACAAATGCAATGAATTGACGATAGGCATTATTGATTTAAAGATAGGTACAATTGAATTGAACTTATTGTAACCAAGTGAAATTGCACAGGTCGGTTTCCGTTTTACAAATTTATTAAAACTCCTAAACTTAACAAAATCTACAAGGTCGGGAGTCGGTGGTCCGAGCGGCTTGGCTGTCGCTCTCCAACTGCCAGTATTCTAACATGACAATGAATATAAAGATACAAAGTGATATTTTAACAATAGAATTAATGAAAGAGTGAAGAATGCAAATAGATATCAATTAACGGATTAATTAAATAAACTCAATGTCACTTTAATTGTTCAGATTAAAAATCACTCAACGCGGCATAACAGGGGAGAAGGTGTTTTGTCCTTGGGCTGCATTTCACACGGTGATACTATCTTTAATTACTAAGATATTGGCAATAACAAGTACTCCCTTTATCATAGGTCATTTCCGCTACGTCACAGCTGGCGCGAAAGTTTATCGGAATCTTCATCTGGCTGCAATACAAGATATACCTACACATGTACATGATATACATGTGTATTTTTATGAGTATATTATGCTTTTGCATTTTGAATTAACCTTTATATTTCTCCTTTCATCCTTGTTGTCGTCTCTCTGTAGGTTCTGTGCGTTTCCCTTCATGCTCAATATTGTCTCCAAGGGAGCATTCATTATTTACCAACAACATAAAACGAATTGAACCTAGGTATAACTGAATTGTGCCTATCTTCAAATCCTTTGTCGATGTGTCTTAATTGAACCTATCTTCAAATCAATTGTACCTATCTTTAAATCAATTATACCTATCTTCAAATGAATTAGAGATAGGTATAATTCAGTTGAACCTATCTTGAATTGAATTGAAGAGAGGTGTAATTCAAATTCAAGATAGGTATAATTCATTTGTACCTAGGTATAATTATTTAGAGATAGGTATAACTATTTATACCTATCTTCAATTCAGCTGAACCTATCTTTAATTCAGTTGTACCTGTCTTTAATTTAATTTTACCTATCTTCAATTCATTTAAAGATAGGTAAAATTATTTGAAGATAGGTGCAATTATTTGAATACATGTATATGTTAACTTGGCGTTCCATAGTTTTATGATTAAATTAGATTATGCGTTATTCTCTTAACCTGATGCAACAGGGAGATGCTAACTACTGCTAGACATATGATCCTACCTCTGATTTTTCCAGGGGTTCGTGATTTTGCCCTGTTCACAATTGGAGTTCTTTCCTGGCTTTGATTTATTACCTTTCTTGCCTTTTTTTTTAATTTCAGCTTAAATCTTTTTATAAAAGCTCAAAAATACATTTTCTTCAAGCATGCTCAGTAGAGCTCTCGATCCGTGATCGGACGATTATAGGGTCAAGTTTCAGTTTCGACAGACCGAAGTCAAAAAAAGTAGCAACTGTTTCTTTGCCTAGCGTACGTACTTTTGAATTGAAAGTTACCGGGTCTTTACAGGTCTTGCAACACGTCACCGTTTTCCAGTGAAGGGCTTAAAATTTAGTTTTTAACACGGCATTTAGAGCCATTCATCAGTGAGAAATCTTTATCGTACCCCGCCTGCCGTGACATAGGACCTCGGTTTTTAAGGTCCCATTTGAAGCTTGTCAGTGATCAGTTGTAATCTATTTTTTCAGTCGCGACCGGGGTTCGAACCCATTCAAGAAACTAAATCTCACCATACGTATTACGTCATGCAAAATGCTTCTGCCCTAAATGCAAATATTTCAAGCAGTCCACATATAATACATGTACTTTTTACATTCCTCTCTCTAAAATTTCAAATGACATGGTAAGAATACGAATACAAAGAGAAATATTTGGAATAAAGGTGGGATCAGGTGCCATGGAGGAGTGAGCATCCCCTTCCAACCGATCACACCCGCCTTGTGCTCCTTGTCATTATCATGAAATAACGGAAAAATCCGTCGACAATTTGAGTGTGTATATAATGACCTAACAATAAGTATGAAAAACGTCAGTTGGCATTTGACTTAATGATAAACTGTGTTTGTTGACAAGGTCATTCTACCGATCAAAGAGCATAGGAAGTGATGACTTTAAACGAGACTGTCGATACTCTTGTTTCCGCAACTTTTTGTTCATATTTACCTCTTTTTAGAAATTTTTCATACGTAGAGAATGCTCTCTCGTATCGAATCAACTGAGAGATATAAACTCCCTATCTAGGTGATGAAGGTATATTGCTGTAATATGTAAGAAAGTTATGCATTGAAAAGTTAAAGTCATCACGTTTATCATAAAGCTTGGTTGTTGGATTACCATTAACGTCTTTTTCAAGTAAATTATCTAAATATGAAATAGATGTATCAGACTCTGTGGTATCTTTTATTTCAAGCTCACCGGGATACATCGTATCGACATAAGAATGGAAACAATCATTGTTAATTGACAATAACGCCGTCGATATATCTTATAATGTCGAGTTAAGACCACAGCAAGTGTATTCTTCTTTTCACGTATGAGATTTTGGATAAGTTCTGCTTCACATGAGTACAAAATAGGTCTGCTTAAAACTGGGCGCAATTGGTGTTAATAGGAATTCCAATAGTTTGTTGGAAGACCTGGTCTCCGAAATCACATCTCATTAGATATTGCCAATCAGAAACTCAAGCATATTTTTAATACCAACTTCAGAGTACTTGTGTGTACAATCAGAATGTTTTTAAGAATTCAAATAATTTTGCCAATATACTAACATGACTAAAGAATTGCACGAGAAATTTTAAAGGCAATATGCGAACCATTTATCCTTCTGTTTTCACTATCTCGAAGATGTTCAAGAATTAGAAAGGCTCCGTAAACAATATCTTATGGTTACAACCGAAAAGGCTTGTAACAACATCTATTTTCATTTGGATCGATTTCCCCAGTGAGCTTGAAATAAAAGACACCACAGTCTGTCACGTCTGCTTCATATTTGAATGTTTTACTGACTGTAGACGATAAGAGTCAAGTAAAAACTAAACTGTATATATAACAAACTAGATCAACTTTTCCATCGTCTACCTTCTTAATTTATTTAGTAATATCCAAATCTCTTGCATATAGTGTTTACATTCTCCCAGCCTATTCGATTCGATACTGGGGAGCTTGCCTGGAGTACAATCAATTTTTAAACCCAGGCAGGCTTCTGACAGATAAGTTCTATGGTCGTTATAATGATCTTGTGTGGAAATTTGACCTATACCCATTGATCTTGTCTCATACTGATTGTCAGGGTTCGCTTTTATACCACGTCTGACTGCTGAATGCTCTACCTTGCTCTACGGCGAGTGCATCGTTCGACAGAGGATGCTTAGTCCACCTGATCCCATCTCTGGAATTCCCAGAACTCCGTGTTTATGACCTTTTCAAATAATTAATATATATTTGTATTGCTTAAAGATTATTTAAGATTATTTACGATCGATCTCTTGTTCGTTAAACGAGCTAATTTCGTATTTAGTAATTTTAAATATTTCTATGACATGTTGATACAAGGGAAATCAAGTAAAAAAATAAAATAAAGGGATAAAAAAGTAAAAAAAAAGAGTTTAGAGAATTAGCTTATATGAATTAAACAATGTAAATTTATATGTATTCAGGTAACAAATTAGAGAAGATCAAATCAAACATATTGTAACCCAAAGAGTAAACATTTGTTAGATAATTTAGTTGTAGAGATAAGATAATAAGAATTGTTTATGTTTGTGCCAATCAGTGCCTTCTATGCCAAGAATAAAACGGATTTGATTATCCGCCCTTTGTTGATAAATTCTCTAAAAATAGACCAAATGCTCTTTTGTTGAAGAAGTGAAATAGGCTTACGTGTCATGTAAACAGACGCTAAATAAATAAACAGCTGTTAAATATGAATTTATGGAGCCATGAAACTCTGAATTAGACATTTTAACTGGTAAGTATAAAGAATAATGACCGATGGATGGAAATTTCTTAAGGTCGTAGTTGGTAAATCTACTTTCGTTTTAACAGGGTTCCTTGTCAACACACAGCTGACTTTTATTTCAAAGACAAAACAAAGTGTGTACAAAATACATAACATGAATCGATTTACACTGTTTTAATTTTTGATTTTAAAGGTACGTGATGTTTTATATAGGGCTTGTCTAAAAATGTCTAAAACTGTCCAAAGAATAACAGATATGGACAAACACCACCAAATGTTTTCCCATAGACTTCCATACAAACTTGAGCCCCTGTCACTCATACATATATTGAATTTTGGGCAAATGACCTTTTTGCCGTGAAAGTTCGAGATATTGGAAAACAATATACCAGAAAAAATACACCGTCACGCGGCCCTTTTACCTTCAATTTCCATTTGTTTACAACAAGGTGCGTTTGACATCAAATGAAAATCTCTAACCAAAGTGCACCCCTCCCTTCAAATTTTTACCTGTAACTCCTATATATCTCAAAGAAACCCAAGTCTTGATATGAGATTTTTATCAACTTTATTTCACTTGTCAGATTTTCTCTTATTGACCAATCACGCGCCAGGTAGCATTTTCTCCTCCAGGGTGTCCAAAATGTCTGCGCCCATGTATTTGTTTATGTAGGAGTTTTTCCATATTTAAATCATGAAAAGTCGAAGTAAACAAGAAACCTGCAGACGCAGCAAGATTCGTCTTATTCCATTACACGTAATGTTAGCAAACAAATAAATGTACAAAATTTATCATTTAAAATTATTTTGCTTCATAAAATTATTAACTGGATGAAGTAAAAAAGTTTTTCAACACGTGTTGCCTTTTTAAATAAAATGATTTCAAGAAATGATCGAAGAAAAAGCATTGGTTGCACATCATATTCCACAGACAACAAAGCAAACAAATAGATAGATAGACAAACAGACAAATAAACCAACTTATACCATAGAATCATAGACCTTTGAACCATTTGACATGTTGCAACAAATTTTTGCCAAACAGTATAGCAATATTTAATTAAATGCTCCATTTAAATTTTATTTTCGATGATTATATATCAATAGGAAAAATAAGAATCAAAGTTTTATTATAATGTAGCACTATATAAAATACTAAATCAAAGTAACTTTTTTTTCAAATTTTTACTGTAGTAAATCAAGAAAACATATAGTTTCATATTTCACGTTGCCAAAAAGAAAGTTATAGTCAAAGAACTGAAAAATACTTTAGGTAAACATGGTGAATAAATGTTGTTATTCATTTTTCATTTACCTGATATTTGTTTTCTTCATATACAGTAAACTTTTGGTACATCCAACCTTTCTAGGTTTAATGTGATTGTTCTATCATCATGGACAGAGCCGAAAGAACCCTTCAAAGAAAAGGTTATAGTGTGACAACACATCCCAAAGACGAGAACTCATTTTATTACAGTCTTCATGCTGTATTAAATACAGAGAAAGGACAGCCTTCTGGCAAAAATGCAAAGCAAACGCGTGATGAGATATTCAAACTCGAGTTGGATAACGCTATGTATTTCCACCTATTTCACCCCCAGCGCGTCAGCTGCGATGGAACAATGCACCCAAGAGATTGCCTATCAAGTGATCAGGAAAGGGTGAAAAAGGAGAAGAAGTATGCATCTCCTCGGGAAATTTATGCTGCAACAGAATTACTACAGAAGGACATATGTCTTATTCGTTACAATAAATCTGATAGTGAGGACATGCTCGGATTTCAGGGGTACATTTTTGCTCCATGTATCAGGCCGTGTCTTGATTCAGAGCCGGTATATATTCTAATGATTGAAAATCAAGATGGATCGACAGAATTCGGCAATATTGATTTCAGAGATAATAGTAAAGATCTAAAATCTAGCCCTTGGGATCTAGTGAATGAAGAGCACAAGAAGTGTTTTGGCACACGATTCAGAAATAGTTTTCATTTGCTGTTTGATGAACATGTTAGGTATGGAATAAAAGATGATGTCAAAGATTTGTATCGCCGTTTAAGTTTAGAATTCTACGGTAAAGAAGATCACCATGACCGCATACTGAATATTATTTGTAACTTTGAAATGGAAGAGGACAATCTGGATTTATTTTGCAAGTACGCAGATGATACCATCAATGAAGAAACGAGAGCCACCGAAAAGGAGAGGCTTTTGAAGAAACACACAGAGAAAGTTAAAAATCGACAGAAACCTCCCACTGATGGAGAACTCTATGCCATATCATCAGTATTCAACGTCGACATTGTTGTTGATAAAATGTGCAGAGGTGACTGGAAAACCTATATGTCAGTGGCATGTAGATATGCCTGTTGCTTTAGCTCTCCAATCCTTCTGCATCAGCAGACGAGTCGTGGAGAATACATGCCTTATGTCACAGCACCAGGAGAATGCTCTTGTCGCCAGAAAAAGCCAGAAATACAGGGGCATATTGGGAAAATTAAAGATGACATCCACAAAGCAGTGTGTAAGTTACTTTTCAGCTCTTTATCTTGACTAAAACTTGAAGAGTTAGGAGTAAATAAGTAAAAAAATAATAATAACGTTGTTTATGTGTGAGTTTTGATTTCGACCGAACATTTGCAATGCCTCAAACAAATGGTGAAATTTCCAGCTATTTTTGTAGACATTGATCCCGTTTAAACATTTTCTATTGTTTTACGTCCCCTTCGAGAATTTTCACTCGTATTAAGACGCCACCCTACAATACGCGGACAACTCGGTGGTGGTTAATAATAAGGAGAGAAAGTAATAATATCATCCCATCAAATATATGCTTTTCAAACAAATCTATAAAATTATTAGTAATAAACTGCATGCAACACATCAAGTTGCTCATTTGTTTAAAAGCCAAAAATCATGCAAAGTCAGTAAAACGAAAAAGTTTATCTTGTTCAATGTTCTTTGGAATAGAAGGGATTCACAACAGATATGAAGTCTTCATTATATATTACAGAGTCTTCTATATAATATTTTGTTCAGAATGGTGTGAGATTTGGTATGCCAGGGGCTGACATATAGATTTTTAAGGCACTTGTCCATGGGCAAGTACATGGTCAAAATTTACTTGCCCTAATGAGTTTTTGCTTGCCCATCCATTGATTAATACTAATTACTACATGTAATTATAAATATTTCGAAAAAAAGAGGAAACCAAATACTGACTAGATCATGCAAGCCCCTATGCCCAGCTTTAAATCTATGGCTTGGATATTGATTTTATTTTTGATAAGTCACTTGCCCACGGGGAAGTGGTTGATAAAATTCACTTGCTCACCCCTAAAATTCCCTAACCCCTGGCGTCGGGCAATGGGATTAGTCATCCCCTGTATGTTATCATCGATATTGATTTACATATCCTGTACTTCGTCCTCACAGAGGTGGTGGAGTAGAGAGAGTGAAACTATTCCAAAACAATAACTACTGAAAAAAGAATAAACTTAAAAAACCTAGTTATTTGAAATTGCAATTTAACACAAAAATCATAGGTGTACAATGCGCAATAGGTAGTTTTTCGTTCTTATTGGTGGAATTTATTGTCATCCGAGTACACATCATCCTTAAGTAACAAATGTGTGAAAAGTACCCTTCATCCATCTGCTCAGTTATTTTTTTTAAAGGCTAAAATAAAGATAATGTTGAATTTGAACTATTTCGGTGTTCCTTGCCGTGAACACTTCTACTGAAATAGTCTATTAACTTCAAGTTGACATTTTCTTAAAAGAATTAAAAGTCCTAAATGCCAGTGAGAGTTATTTCTCTTATTCAAGTGTCAATAATATTTGATGATATTGCCTGTAGTGCGAACCCCATGCTGTCCATCAAGTAGGAAACACCAAAACCACAGCCATTTAAAGCATGTACTGAACAACAGGACAATTTGGCCTCAGCGAACTGATTATCTCATCCCAACGAACGACATAGAAATCGTTGCAGCTCGACTTTATGCTGAAGAAAGGCGACTTGATCAAATAAATGGTGGAAATGGTACTTTAGTCAAAGCCCTGTCTAAAGAATTATATGGAGATGAAAGTCAATATTTTTCAAGGTTTGTAGTGATGATCAAACCTATGTTGAATGCATGAACACCTAATATTTGAGTATGATTTTTTTAAAAAGATAAGTTGTAATCGTTTTCTGAATCACCTTAAGCTTGTTTTTGAAATGTCTTTTCGAATAGAATTTATATAGAAGTTATAATTCACTATCGATACAGTGACCTTCAGGATGCTTTAGGAAACGAGACACTGGATTTCGATGAAAAGATGCGAAGGATTTCTGACTGGTTGACAGTTCCCATATACATCTACCATTCAGATCTAACCCAGTTAAACTGCTCTCAGGGGCTCTACTGGACAAAATTCGAACCTGTTCGTTCGAGGTCAGACCAACTTGATGGGAAGAAAGAATGCAGGTTTTATATAACTCTTTTCTACAATGGACTGAAGGATTCCTTTGATCGGATAACTCCTCTCAGAGGTTGTAACTGTGAAATTCCGCCACCTCTTTCCTTACTTCGAAACCAACAGAGTAAGTTTAAAACTTAAATTAAGAAAAGTGTTATTTTATTGTTGCTGTATACTTTCATGGTGTTTTGTTTAATCATAATTGACTAAATAATGTATAAATATTAAATTTTTGGAACTCACAGGTACATGTATATGCCGATTTCATGTTTTGTTGTAAATGTTGTCACAAATAAGACATACAGTGTACTAGTATTATAAAACATGAGAGGAGTCTAAAGTTGATAAAGTATAAGGAATAAAAATTATTCTATTACACCCTATTGCCCTGCCTGCCCTTCCTAAAGTGTCTGTCCTCCCTATAAACCCAACCCAAGATCTGCACAGTTTTTCCCTTTATTGGAGGACCCATAAATCCCAAAAGTACAGTAATGAATACACATTTATTCTGACTGACTCGATCTTATGCCAATGATATTTAAAAAAAATTGTACAAGTACACATACTGTTTAATTGTCTTTGTCAGAAACGGAATCTCAGCTTTTAATATGCGTGGATCCAAAGCAACGTCACCATCCTCTCATCACGTTCCTTTCAAAGGATCCTGACGAAGAAATGTTCATGACAGAAATAAGAGATTTTCCAGTGTGCACGCCCTACTCTTCACTGCGTATAGCGATGCAAAGAAACGACATGAAAGGAAGAACGTTTGACTCCATTCAATTTTTCGAACATTCTTTTCTTCGTTGCTTAAGCAAAGAGATATTTGGAACAGAAAAAAATGTAGATTTATTACTGAAAGAACTTAGTGAGGAATTGTTGCAGAACATTCACTTTTATGAACCGGTTATTGGAGATGAAACTAAACATACTTTCAATGCTACATTTGGAAAGTTCCCACAGAACGAAAAAGACAACAAAAAAATTGCGAAATTTATAATTGAAAGAATGGAAGATGATCTTCCTACTGATGACCTATTGTTATGGCTTGCTTGTACATTTTTCCAGACTGAGATCTATGTCCTTAAAGTCAACGACACAAAAACCTCTACAGAGAGCTCCTGGACTGAGTACTCAAAGCTGAGAACCCGGAAAAAGAATCCCAATAAAACCACACGTTTTAAAAGTAAATGTCCTAAGAATAAAAGGCCCTATATTTCTCTTATTCAGACGGGAAGCAAGCAGTTTCACAGAATTATTCCAAAAATGGATTGTTGTAATTGCGTTTCAGATGTTCCAGTTGAACCATCAAATGAAGCTGACTTAACGCCATATCGCACACAACAAGGTAACTTTCATCATCAGCCGGAATGACATTTTTCAAGCAGTACTGTTTTTTTCTAACCCATTAAATTATATAGAAGTAATAATTTCTTTTTATTCCTTTTGCAGATCGCAACTTGATGCGAGAGATAAGGACAGTGGATACTCTTCTGGAGACAGCTTGCGTGACTGTAGAGCAGTGGCTTTTATGCAATCAGATTTTGCAGAGAAGATGTGACTTGGTGATAAATGAAATTGAAGGTCGTCGTAAAAATGTAAATATTGCCACAATATCTGGTTCTGGGGCAGGAATTGTCGGTGCAGTACTGACAGGTGTTGGAATAGCGCTGGCACCGGTAACCGGAGGAATTTCCACCCTACTGGCTGTAGGGGGAGGGGTTCTGGCGGTTTCCGGAGGAACAGTGGCTGCAGGAGCAAAAATTACCGAAACCTACTTGAACAGTGGTACAATAGACACACTGAAACGGTATCAAAACTGTTATCAGGAGAGATTTGAGCGCCTTCAAAACGTAATGGATGAACTTAAAAGGGAAGTAACTAAACTGGCAGAGGTATCAACTGAAATTAAAACCAATCAGAATATTGAGGCATCCGACTTCGCGGGAATTCAGAGTCTACCGGGTATTTTGAGAACCGTGAAAGGTCTAGCAATGATTCCTATAAGCCTGTTGAGGGTGTCGGCCAGAGGCATAATAATTCTTGGCGCAATAATTGGGCCGCTGACGGCGATGGTTGATGCAGGTCTATTGGCATTCTCGGCTTATAATATGGCGAAAGGAAACCGAACTGATCTGACGGAAAACCTTCGCCGAATATCAGCATCACTTCATGGAGCAAGAAGGCAGATGCATAACTGGGCGTACGGGAATGTTAGACCTTTCTATTATGATTAGAAGATCCATATAAGAAATTATCATACTACAGTGTAGTATTTTGATGAGTATCATAATTGAAAATTCAAATCTTGCTAAAGTGAAAGACAAACAATTGAAGATCAAGTATAAGTAAGTGTTACTAAAAAAAATATGTAGATGGTGGTTGGAATTTTACCATCTTATATTTTATAAAACTTTACTCTTCATTAATGTTTTTGAGCTCTAATTTACGTGTTTAACATTTTTTTCTTTCTTGATACGGGACTATGTTATTGTATGGTCAAATGAGGATAAGTGAACATTAATTTGATGAAGGTTTTCTTGGGGTCAGATTTTCATGGTGTTAGGAAAAAAATATTTGTTTGTTGGATTTCGATTTTTTGGATGAAGAACTGTTTGATAGTTTTGTATGAGAAAATTTAACATTTCGTAATGATCATGAATTCGTGGGTCACTTCACGCCTCGTAAAGCACGAAAATTAATCCCCAACGAAAATGATTGATTTCAGTAGTTCTTAGAAATATTAACTCACCCAAACTTATGCTGTCAATCTCTTTGTTAATAGATGTGAGTGAAGGATATTTACAGATTTAAAGATATAGAATTTATTTAACGAGTAGGAAAGATATTCTGTTTTTCACGAGTTCAAACTTTTAACATGGAACATATTTTTATTGAAATTTGTGATTTAAATTTTAAGATTAAAACATAAAAGAGATAATTCAGGATTGATAGATGTTTGTTTTTCACCTAATGAAATTACTTTTATTTTCACTGTTATATACTTGTTTAAGAATTTACTTTATTCAAATGATTAATTACAGTATTTCACAATTGAAATGTTTTACATTCTGGAGTAACTGTCTTTCATTTTTTCCATCGATGTATACTTTATTGACTAAACAGTAAGAGCTTCTACAAAGTCAGTGTCACTATGATGCAATTGTGACATCATAGGCGGTATTATTTTTGTCTCGCTTTATTTTTTTTATAAGCTCATCTGAGCTGAAAGCTCGAGTGAACTTTTCTGATCACACGTGTACCGGAATTTGTCCATCTGTCTGCCCGTCTGTAAACTATTTATAGTTTCAACTTCTTAATAACCACTGGGTAAATTTTAACAAAACTTGGTATATAGCATCCCTTGGTAAATCGGATTCTAAATTCTCACGACGAGCTAATCTCCCTTCAAGGAGGTGGTTGGGTGGATATCTGGAAAATACAAAATAGGATGGAATAATTTTCTTCTCAAGAAACCCATGTGTTAGAGAAGATGATATAGTGTATATTTTGAATTGTTGAAATCGTCGGCCCCTGGGAAAAGGTTTCATAATAGGAAAACAAAGTTATTTTTCATGAAAATTTATGTAGATATCTTTATAAATCTTCTCAAGAAAAGGGACCAGAAAAGCTGAAATGTGTGGCAGCTTTCTAAAAATATGTAGATTCTAAATTGATCAAATCATGGCCCTTGAATCATTTTTTTAAAAAATTTAAATATAGAGAAAAAAATATTTGAAAATCTTCCCAAAAGCCACCGGGTAGAAACCCTTGTGTGGAAGCTTTCTTATTAAGTGTTTTAGATTCTAAATTGGTCAAATCATGGCTTCTGGGGGAGGGTGTGGCCACAATAGGAAATCAAGATTTCGTGAATAAATGTACAGGAAAATCTTTAAAAATATCCTTCTAAAGAACAACTCGCTAGAAATGCTAACTTATGTGGAAGCTTTCTTAGATATGTAGAGATTCTCAATTGGTCAAATTATGGTCCCTCGGGGAGGTTGGGGCCATGATAGGAAATTAAATTTTTACATCAAATATGTACAGGAAGAATCACTGGATAAAAAAGTGTGAGACATTTGTTAGAGCTTCCAAAGAAAGTTGGGTAAGGTAAGACCTCAAAAGGATATCTAACTCTTAACATTGAAATACATTAAAAGAATCTTTAAAAAAAAACTCTTTTCAAGAACTACTGGATCTGAAAATTAGACGAAAGATTCGTTTAAATTGCTCACATTATAGGCCCCAGAGATTGGATGATGTCACATTAGGATTATATTGAGATAAATCTTAAAAACCCTTTACAGAGCTATGATAAATCAGTAGTAGCATCATCTGGTAATGTTAATTTATTTTTGTTTAAACCAAGGTTATGAATGAAGACTGAGACTACAAAAGCCAGTTAAAATTTTACGTAGGAGGACCAAAGTGAATCTGGGGAGCGGTGTGGTCAATGATCCTATTATTTATTTCTTTGTTTCTCATTTCTTTGATTATATTTCAAAGCAACTTTAAAAGTGTGGCATTGTGTGTTTTTAACGAACCATGTACTCTAGTCATTAAAGTTCTGAAGTTTATTTATTTTTCATAACTGTCTAAAAAGTTCATTTATTTCACAAAGTTTGGAAACCATTTATTTGACAAAGTTTGGAAACTCCCTTATCTTTAAGATATTAATTAGATTTATTGGATAATAAATTAAATACATGAAGCATTTTCAGTAGATGCAACTTGTTATATAACTTTGAATTACAAATTCATTTACTTAATTATTAACTGTTTATTACGAGTGAAAATACATGCAAAATAAATTCAAAAGTGCATTTTCACAATGTATCAACAATGTAACAACTGGCCTTGTCATTGTTCACCGAAAATATTTCTGTAAAATATCATTCTGATTGTACACTTAAGTACTCTGATTAAGAAGCAAGATTTGTTCGAGACGAACACATCCAATCGAATAGAATAGGTCTGTTTCTGTGGCCTTCAAGTCGACATTTAGATACCGGTATACAGACGATATATTGTCAGTTAAAATACTTCCGATCAATCATATCGACTCGATATATCCCAATGAACTTGAAGGATAATACAATTTTTGACACATCTGTTTCATATATGGATATTTTACTAGAAAAAGACAACCATGATAACCTAATAACTAAACTTCATAGGTACGAATCTTGATGATAAACTAGCTACAGATCTCGGCGGTCTAAATATAATATGGAGAGCGGACTAGAAAGCTTCAGTGCCATCCATAGAAAAAAAGCCAAAAAAAACTTTGATAGATGTATAATCGGATAATATATTGTTTTGATAGGATATATAATTAGATAAGTATGCTTAGTTCGTATAGAAGTAAAAAAAATATAAGACAAAATATGTATTAACAAAGTACTCAAATTTTTAAAGCTATTTTTTGATCGATTTTTTTACTCTAAATTTCATAAAGCGAGTTCTCCTAGACCTGGACTTTTAGAAGAATTTTTTTTAATAGGATATGAAAGCACCAAGTCACTACTTTATTTTAATGCTTCAAATAGAAAATCAAGTATTGATCAATTTATTGGTATATCTACAGGGCCATTTTATGCATAAAGTGAACCAACTTCTTTCGTCATGGGACTATCAACAATTGGTCTGGTCTGCTTATCAGTACATACAACTTTGTCTTTGGGTTACCTTTGTTCATAACTTCTCTTAGATCTGTTTATATTTCGATTTGGATATTTTAGAGATGCCGCATGCAAACGTTAAACTTAAAGGACGTATCTTTGAATCCTTGACATTCAGTCTGGTAAGTGACAAGGGGTTCATTGTACTTTCATTTGGAAGAGATTATATAAGCATATTAGTATAAGGTTCCCGTATTCATTTTCACCCAAATGCTGAAGTGAACTTTGTTAAACTTTGTCAAAAAATTATGCGTCTGTAATATATCGTCCGTCGTGTGTATGGATACAATTTCACATTTCCAAGTATATATCATTTGCTTTTTCATTACTATTATCAAACAAATATCAATCCATCGTGCAAACAACCGTTTTTAATGAAACTGAAGATTTGCTGTCACCTTTTAAAAATACTCAGTAAGAAAAAAATGAACTTGTATGAAACCTTTCTGTCACACTGCCAATTCACTTTGCACTCGAGATAATGCGAGATAGAAAAAGGTTATTTTTTTTTAACACGGGAAAGTATACTGAGAGAAAATATTCTCCTAAAATTTGACAAGGCCATGATAAATTATATCAGTGTGCAAGCATTCTCTAGTTGCATAGATTCAAAGTTATTTAAACCATAATCCATTAGGTATGGTTGGTTACAATAGGAGATAAAACAAGTAGATGTCTACTGAAGAAATCGTTAAGCATCCATCTGAAGAGCAAGAAGACTATGATTGGTACATCATATTAATATAAAGCACCCGGAGGTATTGTAGATCTACATTTATTCAAATCAACTGCCTCTAGATCTAGGAGGAACACTGTGGTGTTGAGATATAATAGGAGAATAATGTTTGACGACTGATACACAATAAAACATTTTAGGTGGTATATGAAAACACTTTCATCATGGACAAAGCTAAGAGAATCCTTCAAAGAAATGGATATAGTTTGACGAGATATTCTAAAGACGTAAACTCACTTTATAATAGTCTTTATTCAGCATTGATAAAACAAAGGGATCCAAATTCTTGCAAAAACGCAGAGCAATTGCGGGACAAAGTATTCGAACTTGAATAATCCCTGGTATTTCCACCTATTTCATCCTCTGTGTATTAGTTGTGATGGAAAAGCACACCCCAAAACGTGTTTATCTAAAGAACTGGAAAAGTCGAAAAGAGAGAAGAAGAGGGGATCTCCTCGAGAAATTTTTGCTGCAGCAGAATTACAGAACAATATATGTCTTGTTCGTTTCAATAGTTCTAACGGTGAAGACATCCTCGGATTTCAGGGCTATAAGTTCGCTCCCTGTATCAGACCGTGTATCGATTCAGATCCAGTTTGTATCTTAATGGTTAGAAATGAAGATGAATCAGTAGAATTTGGATATGTTGATTTCAGAAATCGCAGACAAAATACCAGGCCTTATCCGTGGATCCTGGTAAATGAAGAGCACAAAAATTGTTTTGGCCCACGATTTAGAAATAGCTTTGACTTGCTGTTCGATGAGAGTTACAGGTATGGAATGAAAGATGACCTTGGAGTAAATATTTATCATGCTTACGAATCAACGTTTGGAAAATTGCAAGGAGAAATTGACAATGAAAAATTGGCAAAATTTGTAATTGAAAGAATTGAAGATGATTTTCCTACCGATGACATATTGCTTTGGCTCTCTTGCACGTTCTTCCAGACCGATATTTATGTCCTAAAAGTCAACGACACAAAATCTTCAACAGAGAGTTCCTGGACTGAGTATTCGAAGCTGAGAACCCGGTGGAGGAATCCAAATAAAACTTCCCCAAAAAATGTCCCCCGGATAAAACATATTACATTTCTCTTCTGCAAACGGGAAGCAAACAATTTCACAGAATTGTTCCAAAAATGGCTTTTTATAATTGCGAGGTAGATTTTCCAGTCGTTCCATCTGCTGAAGCTGACTGCACGCCATATTTTTCTAAACAAGGTACATGTTTCTTACAAAATTGAATACCTTTTTCAAACTTTGTTCATATTGAATGTTATACTTTTATTTGAATATTGGCAGATGGCAACTTGATGCGAAGGATAAGGATTGTCGATACTCATCTGGAAACAGCTTATTTAACTGTAGAGCAGTGGCTTTTATGCAATCAGATTTTACAGAGGAGATGTGACTTGTTGATATCTGAAATAGAGGGTCGTCGTAAAAATGTAAATATCGCGACGATATCTGGTTCAGGGGCAGGAATTGTTGGCGCAGTAATGACAGGTGTTGGAATAGCTCTGGCACCGGCAACCGGAGGAATTTCCACCATACTGACTGTAGGAGGAGGGGTTCTGGCGGTTTCCGGAGAAACAGTGACTGCAGGAGCAGAAATTACTGAAACCTACTTGAACAGTGGTACAACAGACACACTAAAACGGTATCAAAACTGTTATCAGGAGAGATTTGAGCTCCTTCAAAACGTAATGGATGAACTGAAAGATGGTGTCGACGGAAATCAAGACAAATCAGGATATTGAGGCATCCGACTTCGCGGGGATTCAGGGTCTACCGGGTATTTTGAGAACCGTAAAGGGTCTAGCAATGATTCCCATAAGCCTACTCAAAGTGTCAGCCAGAGGTATTATAATTCTTGGCGTAATAATCGGGCCGCTGACGGCGATGTTTCATGCAGGTCTATTGGCATTCCCGGCTTATAATATGGCGAAAGGAAACCGAACTAATTTAACTGAAAACCTTCATCGAATGTCAGCATCACTATATGGAGCAAGAAGGCAGATGCATAACTGGGCGTACGGGAATGTTAGACCTTTTCATTATGACTAATAATCTACGGAGTACAAAGTCAACCTCAATTTTAAAAAATTATCATACATGCATTAGAATTTTCATGATTATCATTATTAAAAACTAAAATCCTACAAATTGAAAGATAAAATCTAAAATATTAGGATAAATACAAGTAAGTGTAACTTAAAAACGGAAAAATCGGAATATTACGATGCGATGCTATTTTTTTTATATAAAAAAAATTACCATTTATTTAATATTTGTGCACTCTAAATTATGTGTTTGACATTTTTCTTTCTTGATTCGAATCGAATGATACTGACCATGACTGGTCAAATGAGGATAAGTTTTTAACAATAATCAGAAAAAGGGTTTCGTGGGGTCAGATTTTCGTGGTTTGAGGAAATAAATTTTTTTGTGAGGTTTTGTTTTCGTGGATAAAGAAGTGTTTGGTAGTTTTGTATGTGAAATTTAACATTTCGTGGCGATTATGAATTCCTGCCTCTCTTCACACTTCGAGCAGTTAATAATAATAATTAACTCACTCAAAAACTTTTGCTGTTAATCTCCTTATGTTATAGAGGTGTGTGAAGGATATTCATTAATTTGAAGATATGTAATTTTTTTAGCGAGTAAGCTTTCCACGAGTTCAAACTTTGAACATGGAAAATATTTTTATTGAAATTTGTGACTTTAATTCTAAGATTAAAACTTAGAAGAGTAAATTCAGGATTGATAGATGTTTGTTTAGCACATTGTAAAAATACTTTTGTCTTCTATTCAACGGAATAATTACAGTAGTTCACAATTGAAATGTTATAATATGAATTACTTTTTATCTCACCTGAGCCGAAGGCTCAAGTGAGCTTTTCTGACCAAAATTTGTCCGTTGTCTGTCCTTGTCGTCGTCGTTGTCCCTGTAAACTTTTCACATTTTCATCTTCGTCTCAAGAACCACCGGGACAATTTAAACCAAACTTGGCACAAAGTATTCTTGGGTGAAGGGGATTCAACTTTGTTCAAATAAAGAGCCTAGCTCTCTTCCAAGGGGAGATAATAATGAATTAATGAAAAATTTAATGGCATCTTTTAAAAATCTTCTCCAGAACCACTGGTCCAGGTAAGATGAAACTCATCAGGAAGCATCCTCTGGTAGTGTAGATTCATGTTTGTTCAAATCTTGACCCCGGGGGTAGGGCGGGGCCACAATGGCTGATCAAAAGTTTACATAGGATGATATAGGAAAATCAAAGTTTAAATAGGAATATGTTGGGAAATCTTTTAAAATCTCTTTCACAAGTACTGCAAAGCCATGATAAGTGATATTTACATGTATATGAAAGCATCCTCAGGTAGTGTAGATTCTAGTTTGTTCAAATCATTACACCCGGGGGTAAGGTAGGGCCACAAGGCCAATCAAAGTTTTACATAGGAATATGTTGGGAAATCTTTTAAAATCTCCTTCTCAAGTACTGCAAAACCATGATTAGAGATATTTTTATGGAAGCAGCCTCAGGTAGTGTAGATTCTAGATTGTTCAAATCATAACCCCCAGGGGTAGGGTGGGGCCACGGTAGGGGATCCAAATTTTACATTAAAATATATTTAAAAAAAGGTTCTTCTTCAAGAAAAGCAAAGTCATGATTAGTGATATTTAAATAGAAGTATCCTCATGTAATGTAGAATTAAATATGTTCAAATCATAATCCCCAAGGGTAGGGTGGGGTCTCAATCGTGGATTAAAGTTTTACAATAGGAAAATAAAGGGAAAAATCCCAAGAACAAGAAGGCTATGTTTAGTCATATTGACATGTAAGCATCTTCATGTATTGAAGATTTAAATTTGTTCAAATCATGGACTTTAGGGGTAGGGAGGAAAACAACGGGGAATCAAATTCAAACAAACAAAATGTAAACAAAAATCTTTAAAAACCTTTTTCTTAAGAACAGCAAAGTTATATGCTGTATTGATGTGGAGGCATTTTCAAGCAGTATTAAAATTCAACCCCCCACCCCGTAAGCTTTTCAATTCTGATCTGATTTGTGCTTTTTCATAGCTAATGTGCTCAGGTGAGTGATATGGCCCTTAGGCCTCTTGTTTCATTTCTTATTCATTCATCGATGAATACATTACGCACAAAACACGTATATCTAGCTGGGCTGAATTAAGGATTGCTTCATACTCTGTCTCACTATGATGCAATTTGGCGCATGGTTTTTTTGGCCTTGCTTTTTATTAGCTCATCTGAGCTGTAAGCTCAAGTGAATTTTTCTGATCTGTAAACTTTTTACAGTTTCAAATTCTTTTTAAGGACCCTCTGTACCAGTGCTGAATGCTTTTTGGTTTATGAGAACAAGTTTGAATAAAGGTGTAAATAACGAGCCTATCAATTTATTATCCATATATGTTACCCCCAGGAAGAATGTTTAAATAGAAAAAAGTATCAGTGAACAAAAACCATTGCTCTTTATCTCCATGGAGAAAATACATGTAAATCAATTAATTTATCTTGGTCTATTCATTGGAATTAAAAATAAGGATTGATCGTTTTTATCTGCAGAAACAAATGTAATTCAATCGGAACTCTTTATTGCGTAGTAATTTTCAAACCTTTACAAACTTGACAAAATTTACAAACTTTCGAAACTTTTCAACAAAATGGGCCAGCTGAAAAGCTGAAACTTATGTGGAAGCTTTCTGAAAAAATGTATACGTAGTTTCTAAATTGATCAAATCATGGCTCCTTAGGTTTGGGACAAAACATCAATTAAAAAAAATGAAATACATGTACATGTATATGCGAAGAAAAAAATCTGTAAATATCTTCTTCCCTATAGCCCCATAACTAGAAAAGCTTAGACTTGTGTCTAAGCTTTCTCTAGTGATTTAGATTCTTATCTGGTCAAATCATGGCTTCCAGGGTGAAGGTATGGCTACAAGATTTTTTAAAATAAATGTATTGGGAATTAAAAAAAAAACTTCTAAAGAACAACTCGCTAGATATGCTCAGACTTATGTGGAAGCTTCTAAGGTATGAAGATTCTCTGTCAAATTATGGACCCCGGGATGATGGGACCACAGTTGGAAATTAATGTTTTACATCAAAACATATAGCACGAATCACTGGGCCAGAAAATTTTAATCATTTTTGGGAGCTTCCTCAAGAAGTGTAGATACTAAATTGTTCAGGTCATGGTTGTCGGACCACAATAGAATACTAAGTATCAAAATTTTTACATTGAAATTTATTGAACGAATTCAATCCTTAATAACAAACTCTTTTCAGGTTGAACTGTTCACGTTATGGGCTGAGGGTATTGGGAGAGACCATAATAGGAATTATATAGAGAAAAATCTTTAAAATTCCTTTTCAGAGGAACAGCAAAGCCAGGCTGAATCAGTAAAAGAATCTTCTGGTAGTGTAATTTATTTTTCTAACCAACACCTTTGAATAAAGACACAAAAAAGTAGTAAAAAGTTTAAACTGGAATACGTTCATTCGGAAAAAATCTGATGCAGAAGTATAGGACCAAAGTGACTCAGGGGAGCCTTGTGGTCCATGTACCTCTTGTTTATTTCTTATTTTCCAAGTCCATTGATTATATTTCATGTCAACTTTAAAGTGTGGGATTGTTTTTTTTTTTATTAACCGTGATTGTATCCTATTCATTAAAGTTTTAAATTCATTCTTTTATTGTTATTGTTTACATGTAAAAAGAATAATTGAATACTGTTCCTTATCTCCATATATTTCATTACTAAAAAGGATAAAATTACAGATCTGCTAAAAGAAGCTTTATTTTATTGGTATTGTTTTTCTTTTATTTGAATCTCCAGAACATACAGTTTTAAAGAAGATTTTGTCAGTGTACACTAGATACAAATTTACAACAATATTAATACATGATATACATAATAGAAAGCATCACCAGATTGTCCATTTTTTTTTTATAACTACTAAAAAAATAATCAAATATTCATACATACTTGGTGAATATAACCTTCTAAACCAGACTAGCGAAATTAAAAGTGCATTAAATATTTTGTTTTTGCTTTCTTCGTTTGAGAAAAAAATAGATGTTTCTGAAAACAAACTCTTTATTTTTTTTTAATTTTATAACATAGCAACAATACATCGACAGAAAATATGAGTTAGAAAAATCATATTCTTAGGTGCTCTTATTTAATTCAATGGGTGTCATGTCCTCAAGAATTATTTTGAATCATGAAAGAAAACCTTCTGATTTCCATACGCCCAAGCATGCATTTGTCTCCTTGAACCGTAGAGGGAGGCAGATATTCTTCGAAGATTTTCGGTCACGTCGGTTTTGTTTCTTTGAATCATATTCCGGATAGAAAAAGCTAGCAAACCTACATCTATCAGCGCGGACAAAGGCCCTATAACTACTCCAAGAATGGTTATTCCCCTTGCAGAAATTCGTAGTAGTGCTAATGGAATCATTGTTAACCCCTTAACCATTCTTAGTATCCCAGGTAAAGTTTGAAGTGCTGCAAAATCGAAAGACTCTATTTCTTGATTAGTTTTCATTTCACTTGCTATGTCGCCAAGCCTGTTTATTTCATCTGTCAGTAAACGCAGATTGATCTGCACAGTTTCGAAAAGTTCCTGATATTCATCTTGATATCTTTTCAGAATCTCAATCGTTTTGGTGTTTAGGACGGTTTCGGTAATTTTTGCACCAGCAGCAACGGTTCCGCCAGTTACTGCAAGGACACCACCCGTGACGGATAAGGCAAGAGATGCTCCTGCTGTCAAAGGGGCAATACCAATCCCAACAGCAGTTAGTACAGCCCCAACTATACCAGCAGAAGAGCCTGATACTGTTGCAACGTTGACGTTTCGGCGACGAAGTTCCATTTCGGCAATTACCTGGTCACAAGTTTGTTGAAGAATGAGGTTGCATTTGAGCCACCGGTCTATTGCATCCTTGGCAATTTCAATCATGGCCTCTATTTTTCTCATTTGCTTTGTGATTCTCCAATCTGGTAAAGAATAAAAAGTATCCTAAAATACATTGCAGGTATTTTTTGAACTAGAGTATTCCAAGGAATGCATGTGTCGCCTGCTTTTAGATTCATTTAAGAATAAAGATGTAACTAAATCTAAAATTGGTCAGCTACTTTTGCAATTAGCATTTAGTTCATGCCAAAAAAATAAAAATAAAAATCAAGGGATAGTAAGTCTTTGATAGAATCTGACAATCAAATAGAAATACAGATCCCTAACCCTTTAATGCGAAATGTGTATTAATGATATTTAAATTACAAAAAAAATAATTATTTTACAGTTTATAAATTTATTAATTCGTGATTTCGAATAATCTTTCAAAAGAGGCGTCAGCCGGTCTGTTTTTTTGATTGTTGACAGTCTACGCCATCCATATTTGAAGACTGATTTCGATGTACATTCATAGTACTTCATTTTCATTATTTTATGGTAAATGTATTTTCATACAGTGAAAAAAAAACACCTCTCTAAATTCAAAAGACATAAGTTAAGGAGGCTAGGTGGTCATACAACCTCCTATTACTTTTTTTGACATATATTTTGGATTTTAACCACTGCCATTATATTCAGATATAACTTAAATTTCGATATAACTTAAATTTCGTTATATGATATCTTGAGCTGTCAACTATCATTTGGCAAAGAAAAAATTCATAAATTTAATTTTAAAATTTGATCATTTTATTATATCTTTATATGGAGCTCTTCTTCTAAAGGAGATCAAAATAGTCTAAAAATGGCCACGACCACCCAGCCTCTTTAAATTTTACACTCAGTAGTAAATTTTGCAAAGTAGGTCAAAGGTTAAGTGGACCGTAACGCTGGAATTTTCAAAATGTGTTATGACAAACAGTGAACATGCTAAACGGCATTGACTTACTTCGATTCTTGAATGTCGAAAGGTAGTTGTGTATTTGTACAGTCAACTATTTTAAAAATAAGGTCAAAGGTCAAGTTCAATGATAACTAGGTCGGTAATACGGAAAAACGGACGAATAGACAGGACATAAGCAGGGTAAATAGACTCTCAGAGCCGCTTTGCTCTGCAGGCGAGACAAAAAGTGAATGACAAATACTAGTACCTAATCGACTAAAATTTGTGAAGTACGGCTGATTGGATTTTAAAAGAGAAAGTAAGACCATCGATGTCATAAAAGTAACGAAAATATTTTTGAATTTTTGAAGAAGAAATTCTTTCACTTTTTGAAATTCATAAATACAGCAAATTATTCATTTTTTAAAAATCTGTTTTTATAAGAAGTCTGCAAAATACCATACGTTTACTTACCGTGGTCGGAAGAAATAGACAAAGGATCCTGAACTCTGTTTGGAACTGTTGGAGCAATAAGGTCACAGTTGCATACGTCAGTTTTTGATACAACTCTGTAGTATCTCTTTGTCTGTGTTTCTATTAATGTCAGAAACGTTTGTCTTTTTCTAGAATTTTCATATCGGTCCTTTTTCTCTCGCAGAGGGAAATATTCAGTCCAGTAACTTTCTGCAGATGACTGCGATTCTGCAAATCGTAGCACAAAAACATCAATTTGGAAAAATGTGCTAATTACCCAAAGTAGGAAGTCTCCAGTCGGTAAATCATCTTCAATTCGTGAAATTGCGAATGTTACCAACTCTTTTATTTCTTTTTCAGAACCTTTCATTTTCCCAAACTTTTTCTCAAAAATAAATTTGGTGATGTTTTCCAGGAATGGCAGGTAGGAATTAGTGTTTTGTAGAATTTCTATGCTTAGCTCTTTCAGGAGGAATTCACAATGTTGCTCAGTTCCAAATATTTCCTTACTGAGGCATCGAAGCAGGGAATGATCAGAATATTCCACAAAATCTATTGTCCTATCTTTCATATCTGGTCTCAGCTGGACAGTTCGAAGTCCAGAATATGGTGAACACGGAGGGAAATCTCGGATTTCTGTGCAGTACAGGCTTTCATTCGGCACCTCACTAAAGTATGACTCAAATATCCTGTGCCTGCTGTCAGGTTCTATTGGAAGCATGTTTGTTTCAAGTTCTAAAATATAAATATGATTCACATGCTCATTAACAAAACAAATATCAAACTTCTAAAAATGTCATATATTAGATTATTTTATCGATATATGACATTGATCCATTCGAATTTTTGTTTGCAGAGAAGCAGAAAAAACAAAGGAACAGTTATAAAACTCAAAAGTCTATTGGAACAATGCAAATTAGAAGCAGAGCTGATACAGCAAAACTCATTTAGTACGAACAAGGATATTACGAATTTACGGATATAGCGAAGTAATTTCATAGGTCCCAGTGACTTTGATATAACCAAATTTTACTGTGCAGACATCTAAAAACATCAGATGTGGAATCTGCAGTCACAGAGTGGTGTGCAGCCTCATTTGGCTGTTCAAATTATGTTAATAAACACCGTTTAAATAAAAATAAGAACTTTCATAATTATAAATTGTATAGAAGGTAATTTAGAGGTCACTTTTTGAACTCATTATAGGTATTCAAGTAAATGATGCATCAGATGATGTCAAAGTACAGACTGCTTGTGTCCGAAATTTACCTTTTAAATTTTTTGTACGGTGTGAACAAGTAGATTGAAATTTAAGTGGAGAATGAAAATTTTTAGAGTAAGTAAATGTTTTGATTGTATCCAGTTTTAAATAACACTATGCTCACCAAAGGATCTAATTATAACCATCAGACAGTAGCTATTGATCTTCCGTTTGTCTAACATTTCGAATACCTTGGATATGTAACTTTTTCGTATTGTATTTTAACCTAGATATCTCAAATCCGTTAAAAAAATCTCATTTTCTTCTGATGATAATTGAATTCGAGATAGTGTGACTTTCTTGTATGATTATTTCTAAAACAAGGTGAATGAAATAAACTTAATTTACTGAGTGTTAGGTGTTACAGTACCTGCTATTGTCTGCAAAAGCGATACTGGGGGTGGCAAATTGCAATTGCATCCTCCTATTGGAATGATTCTATTAAAAACATCATTTGAGTGGTCAAAGAACAAAGTGATGTAAAATCTGCATGGTCTTCTTTGGCGTGTTTGGATCAAAGTCGTTGGTTCAAATCGAGTCCAATGAAACACTGGACGATGCTCATTGTTCATGATTATCATATTGAAGATATAAATCGGTAAGCTGCTCCAATCAGCGACTCTTTGCAGTTTCTCATCGAGTTTAGTGTTTTCATTTTCAAGTATATCAAGTATATCACTGAAAATGTAAAATAAAGAAGATTTAAAATTAAAATTGGTTGTTCATGAGATCAAGTTCTAAACTGCCTGATAATCCCTCATCTGTGATTTATGGAAAGTCATTTTACTCCTTGAAAAACATGAGGCTCACAAGAGTTGTTTACAAACCTTATCAATACAATTGTATTTTGGTTTTCTCCTACTTTCCCTACATGGTTATAATATATTTCATGATTTAGTAATTTTGAACACTGATTTTGTGCACATTTAGATACTGTTCGGTAATAAAGAATGATAAATTTATTTTTGAAGCTTGTCAAGAAATGTTTTTCCTAGTAACGTACATCTATCAATAAAACATGAAATTTAAGAATGTTTCAGCCAGACAATTATTGAAATAAATTGTTTGTCAGTAAAAACCGTTCTACCCTTAGATATTTTTAAAAAAAATAAGAATTCTTTCAATATATTATCAAATTTTATTAAGAAATATACTACTATATGCCTGAATAGACTGAACTGCAAAAATATGTTTGAAAAAAAGAAGAATTTACCTCGGAAAGGATTCTTTCTGCTCATATATTTCCTTGATCAATGCGCATGTAAGAGTGCCATTTCCTCCATTTATCTGATCAATTCGCCGTCCCTCTGTTGAAAGTCTGTCTAACGCATTCTGGATGAATTCATTTGGTGCGAAAAAATCTTCTCTTTCTGGCCAAGTTGTTCTACTGTTAGGAATGTGGTCAAGATGTTTGTGGAAAGCGTGCCTGGAGGAGGGACAGCATGATGCTCTGACTAATTTAAAAATAGTAAGAGTATTTTGGCTGATTTAAAACTTATTTTTAGCATATTTAAAAAAAATATTCATATCTTTAAATGAAATGCTCAGTTTTATAGCTTCATTATGAAATTGTTATGTTGGATCGAAGAAAATCCAGGAGATACTTCTTCTGAAAGTATTGCGATAGGAAAAAACTTTCAATTATTTATATTTATATGTCAGTATCTCTGTGTAACATGATCTACGTTTGTTTTAATTGTTGATAATTGGTCAATAATGGACACTTCTCTTGCATCAAAGTTTTGACAGGAATAGAATAGAAAAAGGCAAAATATTGTCCATTTTGCTAGGGTGGAACCACGCAGGAGGTTACAAAAAGAAATATATAATCTAGAATAGTCTAGAAAGCAATTTTATTGCCAAAAAATCGAAAGGTTTATGAGAGGTAGGAACTAGAATCAGGAATACACTGCATTAAATTTCTTCACGATAGCGTCCAAACCCACAGGCCATGAAAAGTAAAGAAGTTTTGGGGATAAACTGAAAGTTAATGTTTCGTCACACCGACGATATTCGCCAGATCTTTTAAACTTTTACTAACTAAATTTCCCAAACCTGAAAAAAAAACCTTTCAGAAAGAAAAAAAGTATAGGAACACATAGGATCTACCATATTCCAGTATACAAAGGGCAATACTCAAAAATGTGTTTTAATTAACGACGTTCGATCCTGATTTTTAAAGTCTTAAACTTTTTTTGCCAAGTATATTTTTAGTTTCTACATATATAGCTTAATTAAAATTCAAATAAAAAAAATGGGGGTGAATACGCTTCTTTTGGCGCTATAGTACATTTAATATGACCTTTTTGCACTGAAATTTGTGTCTTAATCAAAAATTGAATTTTTGACGTTTTTCCTCCAACATTTTTATCCAATTAAAGCATGAAACAAAATGAACTCTAAGTTTGTTTTAAAAAGACACTTAAAAATTGTGACTAAGAAAAAGTTTCAAATTGCTTCGCATTATCAATTATTTGACCTTTCTGCACTAGTAGAAAGTGGTTTTTCTGGCATTGAAAATTTGATAAGCAAGAAAAGTATTTTAAAGTCTTAAACGTTTTCTGATTTTAAGCAAATAGGTCAAATTTATCTTAAATATTTAGAAGAGAATATCAAAAGAGAGGGTATATGATGTAAATTTTCAGATATTACTAAAAAGGTGTCAATTTTACGTTAAAATTAACTCCATTTTTTTCTGGATTTTCAGAATATATTTACTATATTTGTCACACTTTGTTGATAGAATTCATAAGAAATAGATATTTCAGAACCAGAATAGCACACATTTCACTGCTTAAAACAGCTTTTTGTGCAACGAGGATGGAAAAATAGAAATCCAAAATTAACAGTACTGTTATAGTTCAAAATGGAAAAACTGATCATTTTTCTAATATATATATCAAATTTACTTGAATGGAATTTAATCGCGATTTTTTCGTTGAATATAGTTAAATTTGCACTATAGAATTCAGATTTAATGTTAAAACTGAAAAATGATGCAGAATTTTTATAAAAAAAGGACCTGACCAAAATACGCTCAAAATCTCAGGATCGAGCGTCCTTAAAAGAGAATATCTAAGTGAAATCATTAAGACTAAATCATTTAAAAGCATTTTTTGTTTCTTTCCGAGCACCGATGGCATTATTCACTGAACAGCCCTGAAACGTCACCACTTGACGGTTAGGGTTGCAATCTAAGACTTGTACTTGATACTTTCGGTTTTTGAGCATTTAAAGAGTTTTCTTGTGCCAGTAATTTCTGCGACTTGGGCGTCGGTTCATACGGTCTCATTAAATAAATCGGTCTCCCTGTCACACAGTGGATTCAAACATGCAACGAGTAGAGCGTGATTTGGAAAGTAGTCGATAAAAAAGAAGTAGCAATTGTTTGACCGCCAAGCGCCCGGTACTTTAAAGTCAAAATTGAGGGCCTAAAAACCGAGGCCCCGTATCGTAGTGGGCGTTGGCACGACAAAAACTCTCACTGCTCAATAACCCTGAGTATCAAGTAAAAGTCCTTCGCCGGTATATGGTGACGTCTGTACATGAGTGAAAAATTCTCGAACGGGACGTAAAACAACATAAAATCAATCAAAGAATTAACAATCAATGAAACATGCGATACAACGATCAACTCTTAACTCTGCAACTTAAGGTAGAACCTATGTCGGAAAAGTCTTTGTCACAAGATTTTCAAACTTTTCAAAATGATAAATTAGTACTTGCTTATCAATCAGTTAAAAGCTCATGATATGTTTCCTTGTTTTTAAATCTAGTACAGGCTGTGAAACTTGGTATGGTAATTACATATTGCGACTTCACATTTTCAAATATTTTAAGGGGTACTTGTCATAAAGGGATTATGAAAAATAACAAAAATACTTCTTCAAACATCGTCTTTATAGACTTTATTAACTGAACAATATTAAACAATATTTTTTTCAAAAATAATTTCTTTTTTATTCAATTTACATAAAAGATAAGTCCACCATTAAAAAAAATGTTTTAATTTTTAGTCAATTTTGCACCCTACATTTGTAAATATTTTTTAGAATTCTTTGTCACAATGTTTTCAATCTTTAATATGATGAAGAACATACTTAAATGATTACAAAAAGTGATTAGAATATATACCTTTCCCCTTTAACTAATGAGAGATAGGCTATTTACCGATACTCATATTCCTGACCTTTTTGCACTTACACGGGATTTAATAATTAAATGACTGTTTGGGGTTACTTTCAGATTAGATATTTATCAGAAATTGTACCAATAAATCAAAAAGATCACATTTAATAGAAAAATTGTAATAAAACACCAACAATATGAATAAGTAACAAATAATTGTGAAAAGGAATGCACATAATTTCATTATAAATATCACAAAAATGTACACACGATCACACGATCTACAACAGGTACATCTTTGACTTAGACACATATCATCAAGATATGACAGTATTTAGCTGGCAAATAAAGATTTCTTACAATTTTTGCATTCCTTCAAAATGTTACATACCATTCAAATTATTACGAAAGTTGTATACATTGTAATTTTATTATACTAGATAGTCTTGGGTTTGTCGACTTCAGGTCTAGATCTAGTAAATGAAAGGTGCCTACAGGTTTTCTCTTATTCCAGAAATATATTGCCATTAAGCATTATAAACCAAAAAATATATGAATTGAATTAAGAATTTCGGCATGATTGAATTCTGTGAATTTCAAAACACCATTTCTATTGAAGCTGTCAAGTACGGCAAAATGACATTGAATTAATTATGACGTCATAATGGATCTAGCACAGGTTAAACACATTCACCAGTTATATGTCATACGAGTATACAAAGGGACTAAGTTTTATTGTGTGAAAACTACAAATGTGAAACTCTTCATTTTTTATATATAACTTACATTAACTTCAGTGTACATGCAAAGTTTGAAATCATTCAAAATATAGGTACATTTACTCAGGATTATATAAAATGCCATTTTTAGCACTTTACAGCAAATTATACAAATACTACAATAGACATTTTGTTCAAACTATAATATTTGATGAGTAATACTATATTATACAATATATGTAAGAAACACGAATTCTACCGTCTTGTTACCAAAGGGGGCATCTTAAAATGCAAAAAATTAGCAAATTTTACTATTTTTATAGAGTATTATAAAATATGACGTACGCAATGGATTCACATGAAAACATAATAAAAATATTGGAGACATTCTCAAATTTCTATGTTTTAAATTTCAATAGCGTATGTTTATTACTTTTCCTTTATTAATATTTTTATTATCCCTTTCTTTAAGAGCTACAGATTATCATAACGTCAAAAACACACTGTAACGACGTCAACCTACCTATCAATTGCAAAATCGGTTAAAAAATCAGTTATATCAAGTTTTAATTACATTTTTATACCTATAATTTTTTAATTTTGTTTAATTTTAATAATTAAGCGAAAAAAGTTGCATTAAAACAATGATGCGCAAAATATTGCGCAATGGAAACTATAGTCGGCTCCCTTAAGAGCAATCGGTCTGATCATGGCGCCATCTGGGCGATGGTTAAACTCACATTGCTCAATAACCCTAACTTTTTCCATATAAATAACTGAAAAAAGTAACGGAAGGTCTAATAGACCTAGTGCAGTTCAGATTGATGTGATTTTGTTATCAGGATGATAACAATGTTAAAAAATACACAATGTAATGAAGGACATGGAGATAATAAACAGTATTTAATATCATATCAAAGTCCATAAAACAATAAATAATAGGAGCACAGGAAACAAGGACTTTCAAAACATCAGTTGCCATAGAGGAGTGAGCATCTTCTGCTGACCCGCCGTGTGCTCCTTGTCACGATCGGGAAATAACGCAAAAATTCATCGTCAATTCATAAAAAAAACTTAAAGGTACTTGGACACAGATTTGAAGTCAATAATTTCTCTATAATATTACGACTTATGTATTTTAATAGCATTTCACACAAAAATTAATTAAAAATCTTATTTCACTTAAAAGTTATTTAAACTTTAAATTTTTTGGCGGGTTTGATTGACACATCCTTGCACTTTCACAAATTTTAACCTTGTTCTTAATCCTTAGGAAAAGTGGCAATCTTGTTGTGTAAATATTTAAACTTTTATCCAGAAAAATAATTTTATAATAAGAAATGTTTAAAAAATACAATGTAATGAAGTTGATATAGCAAATCGAGCACACTGTTATGTACACAGTTTTTGTAAACAGGGCACGAGTTCTGTTCATGTTGATGTTTACAATTTATGCGAAGTCACATAAAACAACTACAAAATAGGAGCAATATAGAGCACGTATACTCCTGAACATTAAAGTACACAACGAGATTGCCACTTTTCCTAAGGATTAAGAATAAAATTGATTTGTGAATGTGCAAAGATGTGTCACTCACACCCGCAAAAAAATTGAAATTTTGATATCTTTGTATATGAAATAAGATTTTTAATTAATTTTTGTGTGAAACAGAAAAATTCCGTCGTCAATTCATAAAACAAAACAAAATACACAGTTACTTACATACTTACTTTATAAGGTAGACAAGTATCCTATCTGCAAACAACTGAAAACTGAATCAAATATAGTCAAACAATACAGTAATAAAAACACTGAGAAAAAAAGTATGGGTACATACAGACTGTTTGATGAAGGTTTTCTGCGACCATTCCGATGTGTCCCAGAATAAATGGTTTATCTTGGCAACAGGCGCATTCGTTTTTGTTTGTGATATACGGTTTATAACAGGAGGAATCTTGATTCTGTAATATTACATGTAAGAGAATAGGTGAATGATGACACCTGGCATATGTACTTGTAACAGGCATGTAAAGCTCCCAACAGTCTCTATTTTCCTTTCCAATGAAAATATCGGCGTTCAAAACTGATGATAAGGCAAGCATTTCTCCTTTTCCAGGGTCTTTTGATTGCGATCGAACTTTTTCTACGTGTTCTCTTAGAAGACGCTCCTTTTCGTCAAGCTCGATGTCTTCTCTGAAAGATTCTTCTGCATACTTGTAAAAAACATCTACATTGTCTTCTTTCAGCTCAATGTCGCAGATGGCGTGTATAATACGAACGAAATGTTCGTCGTTGTTATACACCTCGAAGCTAATTCTTCTAAATAAATCAGTGACATGGTCATCACGACCGTAAGATGATCTGGTAAAAAGAAGGTCATAATTATTTGTAAATTTGAATCCCAAGCAATCCTTGTGTTCTAAATTTAGGAGAACACCAGGGCAGGTGCTTAAAATCTTTTCATCATGAGATTTGAAATCAATCAGACCAAAATCAGGAAAACCGTCACTTCTTTCTAACATGACAATGCAGATTGGTTCTAATGTACACATATTTCGCAGAAAGGGAGTAAAAATAAACCCCTGGAAGTCCTTGATAGTTTTTACAGATAAAGCACATATCCGATACAAGCATATTGTTCTTTGCAAAACTTCAGAAGTAGCAAATATTTCTCTAGGAGAGGGGGATCTTTTCTCTGCCCGGGATTGTTTAAAGTCCTTCTCTAAGCAATCTTCTGCCGGATGTCCCCCGTCACATGCAATACACTGAGTGAGAAAAAGGTGAAAATACAAGGCATACTGCAATTCAAACTCAAATATTTCGTTCTTTGTTTTTCTCATATCCCACCATGACCTTTTTTCTGAATTGTTCTTAATTGCTTGAATGATGTAGTAAAATGCATTCTCATCCCTTGGCTGCCAAATTAGCCCAAATCCTTCTTTTTCAAGAATTGCCTTGATTCTTTCCATCAAACCTGTAATAACGTTAAACTAATTATGTCTTAAGTAGTAAATATCTTTTTGCATAGGTTGATTAATAAGTAAATATCATAGAAATCTGCTAAAAAGCAGAGTTGAAATGCTCGTCTTCTTCATAGATTTACGCTTTAAAGTCCTTTTCACCTGTTTCTCAATTACTCAAAATCTAAAACGTATAATTTGGTTCATTATGATCACAGTCTAAACATTTTTATATAGGATAAACCCCGATAATCAACATAGTTTGATTCAAATGAAAACTCCTAAATGAAAATTCCAAGCCATTTAGATGGCGATCACATGACCAGACGACAATGTCTGATCAGCTGTTCATGTTAATGTTGCTAAAACATGCAGCCTAGATTTTCTAGACGTCATATTTCCAGAATGTTCATCTATCATGTTATATTCTTTAATGATTTCTCATATTCAAACTCCTACGTTTAATTAAACAGCTTAAAAACTTACGATTTTTCAACTTTATACACAAGCATTCCCCACGATAAATTAAAGTTCAGTCTTTTTGCTATCATTGACAGCTGCTTTTCCAGTAATCGATCGTTTTTTATCTAATATTTACACTATTTGACTCCTGTCACACAGTAACTGAATGCAGTTATGTCAAATTTAATAACATGTTTTGTAAATAGTGTCGGCAAAAAATGATCGATTAGATTTGAATACGTGCTCCTCTCTCTCTGTCTCTCTCTCTCTCTCTCAGGTGCCTAGGAGGAGTAAGCATCCCCATCCACCTGTCAAATATGCCATGTATTATATATTTTATTATTAAATGAGTAGACAATATGACATGGTCATAATGCACATGCATACACGTGCTATAAGTTAAATGACTAATATACATACTACTGCTGTATCTTTTATGAATATTTTCGATGAAATGCTTTGATAAAAAAAAAAGAGATAATAAAAGTGTAGACAGGATTGAACTGTCATCATGTACATTCATACACGTGCACGTATGTGCAATGAGGGAAAGAACTAGAACATGTACATGTATTTTTAATTCATATTTTCTTACAAAAAGCTTTCATACTTGAATAAAAAATGTATAATGAAAGTGTAGCTAGGAAAGCATGGTCACCACATTAACACTTGCAAATACGTGCATGTGCAATGAGTAAATTTACCAATATACTTGATTTTAGGATGTAAGAGGTGACCGTAGGAATTATTTGATTCGAGTATGCAAATGCACTGAAATCTGATTGGCTAAATGTAATTTTGATATATCTGCATTATAAATCCTTAAATATTTCAACAAGTATAAATTAGAAATAAAAAGATCTTCCCTTAAAGGATGTGAAAGGGGCACTAAAAAGAGAGTTGGGGAGCATTTGTTGAACATCTGAAACAGTTTATAATTAGAACTAGCTACATTTATTGTCAATTTTATAACTTATTTCTTTGATAATATTTGAATTAATCAGAAAAAGGATTATAGATCCATCATTTCCATTATTACGTAATGCAGACATTTTTCAGTTATCAAAAGTGTACTTACTTCAAACCAATCCCACGTCGTCGCTTGAGAAGTAGAGAAGTGATAAGCTGTGCATGCATTTACGTCATGGTCTCCCAGATAAAATACGTAGACAAACAGGAAACACGATCTTAAAAGAATCTTATGTTGCAATGCAGAGTTTATGTCAAATTCAGACTATTTCAAAATTTCTTTCATTCTAAAAACTTTCAAGGGTAAAGACGATACAGAAATGAAGACTTTTTAAAGTACAAAGATACCCAATCTTAATTGTTTTTTTCCCTATCACCTAGTCTGGCAAATCTTCACATAATCTTCACATGATAACCCAGATATGTCAGCACAGAAAAGAAACTTGCACACAAAGAAACACATTTTGTGTTTGCTCAATCTATTCTTTTCCTTGTATCGAATTTATACCGAGGCCATCTTTAAAATAATGTTCGCTTGCCCTCTCCCGACTCAAGGTAATTCTTTTGGGTCGGCAGGAAGGTGGGAAAAAATTTTTCTCCAGAAAATTTTAACATATTTGTTGACGGTATAAGAAGAATAAAAAGGAATGTAAAAAAAATTGCGAGTCGGGCGGGCCATTTTTAGTTAGTAGGTCGGGAGAGGACATTTTTTAAAAAGATGATCCAATGTAAAACTTTTTGACGTATTGTATGTAAATCTAGTTACAATTTATTCTTTATATTTTTTAATAGCGTTCCTTTCTAAACAAACTTTTTTCAAAAGCACATTAAAGATTAAATTAAATTATGACCAAATTACTAGTACCACGTGTGAAACTACTCTAACAACAGGTAAAAACAACCACACCTTTAAACTATAGGTACTATAAAATGTCAAATTCTGTAATCACATTTTCTCTTGAGAAATACATTGTGGGATCTGTGATTATGGGTATTGTTGAACTTTTTTTTATTCACCTTATATGGAAGAGAATACTGCTTCTCATCTTTTCCTAAAATTAAATAAAAAAAACATGACGTCAGTCAATAAAACCTATATTCTCAGTCTTGTATTCAAAAACATATTTCAAGTCAAAAGTATTTCTTTCTTACTTTTTATCGACCTTTGCTTCCAAACTTAATATTAACAAGCTGATTCAGAGAATTTGTGTCCCCCGCTTAAGGAAAAAGTAAGACATGCGCAGCTCGGGGGGATGGGGGAGGAAAGTCGGATCCCCCTCATTGAATTTGTAGAATTATTAAATGTATACAAGCATGTATACTGAAACAAATAAAATATACCATTTTGGATATAAAGATTTAATTGCTTATTCTTTATTATGTGTATAGAAGATTCTTTTTATATGGAATATTTATCACACTGTAATGATGATTTTATGAGTTTTTACAAGCCACACCTCGTAAATTTTCTATTTCGCGTGCTGAATATTATTATTTAGTAAAAAAAAAAGTATTTCTAAAAAAAAGTGGTCCGTCCGGGTCTTGAATTCTGGACCTCTCACATGGGATGCGAGAAACATACCACTAGACCACGGAATCGCTTTACATGAAGTCAAGTGTATGCAGAAGTGAAGTCACATACATGTATATATTTATGTTCGGTATTGTCAAAATTTTACACAATCAATGGTGTTTGATTTATTTAGCCTTTATTAAACAGTTCTAATAGATGTAATAAGAACATAATGTCCGCCGAGAACCTGTTTTTTACGCACCTCATGCCCCTGTGCTAAAAATAGCGACATGTAATACTATAAATACTAATAAAACAAACTTTGAGAGGGGTGACAGAGATCCTAGGGAGTTTTGGTATAAAATTACATTGCATAAGCTCAAAATCTTCTTGAAATATTGCCCGGAAATGATAGTGTTACACACAGACAGAATGCATAAATTTACGACCTTGAACTTTGACCTTTTGACCTCAAAATCATTAGGTCACAGGGAGTAGCTATATAAAATTTCATTACAATAGCTCAAATGGTTCTAGAAATATCGTGTGGAAACGAAAGTGTTACAACAAACAGAATTTGCTTATTTATGACCTTGACCTTTGATCTTTTGACCTCAAAGTCAATAGGGTTCTTCTTTCGTCCATAGGGAGTTGCTATGCTAAATTTCATTGCAAAAGCTCAAAGGGTTCTTGAGATATCGTGTGAAAACGAAAGCGTTACAGACAGACAGAAAGACGGACGGACGGACGGACAAACCCAAATTAATATCCCCCACTTTTCAAGCATAGGACAAAAACCCCCACCTAAACTTTAAGATGTATAGTTTACAAAATGAATGAAAAGGATATTTTTAATTAAACGTTGAAAAATTCATTGATGTTCATGTATCTTTAAATGGTTTTAATTTTATGGCGCTAGTCCACGATCTTTACCTCGAACAATGTTGATAGATTCCACATGATAACGTCACTTTTCGACTGGAGATAACAAACATATCCAATATTAAACTCCATTTACAATACAAATAGGAGCAGAGCAAACACGGACCTCCAAAACATCAGGTGCCATGGAGGAGTAAGCATCCTCTGCCTACTGATCACACCTGCCATGTGCTCCTTGTCATGATCGGGAAATAACGGGAAAATCCGTCGTCAATTCAGAGTAAAAATAATGGACTAACAATGAAAAACGTCAGTCAGCATTTGACGCAATAATAAATTGTATTTGCTGACAAGGTCATTGTATCGACCATAGAATTTACGAAATGATGATTTTAAACGAAACTACTGTTATTCTTGTTTAATCAACTTCTTTGTCAATGATTTACCTTGTTTTGGAAATTGTTGAAAAATAAATGTTTTAATTTTATGGCGTCCGTATGCAGGTGATGAAGGTATATTGCTGTGACGATTGAAAAGTTAAAGTCATCACGTTTATCATAGAGCTTGGTTGTTAGATTAGCATTAAAGTCTTTTTGAAGTAAAATATCCAAGTATGAAACAGATGTGTCAGACTTTGTGGTATCTTTTATCTCAAGTTCCCTGGGATATATTGTATCCACAAAGGAATGGAAATTACAATTTTTTATTGACAGTACGTCGACGATATATCTAAATGTCGAGTTGAAGGCCACAACAAGTGTTCTTTTCACGCATAAGATTTTGCGCAAATTCCGGTTAATATGAATACAACAATAGGCCTGCTAATAACGGAGTGCAATTGGTACCCATAGGGATTCAAATAGACTGTTGGAAGACCTGTTCTTCAAAAACCATATAGATATTGTCAATCAAAAACTCAAGCATCTTTTTAATGTCAACTTTAGATTACTTGTTTGTGTAATAAGAATATGTTTTAATAAAATAATTTTGCAAATGACCAATGAGAAGGAAAGAAAATTTACGAGTGTCATTTTTTTTGAAAAAGCAGCCGTCAATGATATCAAAAAGCCTGGAGTTTAATTTATCTTAGGAATGGGTGTGTATTAAGTTGAAATATCGTAAGCTTTTAAGATGTTGATTTTGGTAAAATCTCAAATTGTCCAAAAGTTCTTTGGAATTTTTGAGTATCCACATCTGATTCACACCACTTCCTGAATATATTGTTGCACAGTGCTCTTGAAGTTTCTCCTTCACTACGGTTAATATCCTAGTGAGGAGTAAAGGAAAATGCTTGGTTGAGCATTTACTGGAACACACAATGAATCTTATATATATATATATATATATATATATGTAATATATATATATAAGGTAGTTCAAAATCATTTTGGTTCTTTGGGATATTAAAAAATATTCAAAACTGACATATGATTTTGAAGAATTTCTTAGAAAGGGAACTATGAGTATAAGTTGGATTATCTCTTGTAGAATTTAATCCAAGTTCTGCTAGAATATGATTTATATAATGTGCCTTACAAACAAAGACGTTTTTGGAATTTTTGAAGATCAGATCTTTTGAAATTCTACTTGAATTACTTTCAAATAATAATTGACTCTGTTTTAAACAGGTCTGTTTTTGTTTTCATCTGAATCATAATTAATTCAAATACTATTACATAAAGATGAAAACATTAGACTTTAATTTGAGGGGAATTTACATGCATATCAACAACCTTTATTAACTTATATTATTACATAATTCTTATTCTCTTGGAATATAAAACATATGGAGAAAGATATGGAGATAACGAACAGCATTCAAGATCAAAATTTCATAAAACAATACAAAAAAGGAAGAGCAGAGCAAACACGGACCTCCAAAACATCAGAGATGGGATTGGGTGCCACGGAGGAGTGAGCTTCCCCTGCCGACCGTTCACACCCGCCGTGTGCTCCTTTCTTTTCATGATAGGGTAATAACGGAAGTATCCTTCGTCAATTCAATGTATAAATAATGGACTAACAATGAGTATGAAAAGCGTCATGCATCATATGACTCAATGATAAATTGTGTTTGCTTTCAAGGTCATTGTACCGACCATAGAACTTACGAAATGATGACTTTAAAAGAGTCAATTGATAGTCTTATTTCATCCACTTCTTTATCAGTAATTTACCTTTTATCAAAAATTGTTCTTACGTACAGCATGCTCTTGCGTATCGATTCAACTGAGATATTTAAATTCCGTATGCAGGTAATAAAGGTATATTAATGCATAAGTAAGGGAAGTTGACGAAAGAAAAGTCATCACGTTTATCATAGAGCTTGGTTGTTAGATTACCATTAACCTTTTTTTCAAGTAAATTATCGAAATATGAAACAGATGTGTGAGATTCTGTGGTATGCTAACAATTTCGTTTAATAGACATTCTGGGATTCTAGGTTTGTCAAGGCCGTACTGTCAGTCTATATTTATTTGTTGTGTACTTTCGGTTAATTCAATATTCAGGTGATTATCTTGCCAAAAAATATGCGTTCACGGGTATTGTGTAAATAAAGTTGTTGGCCTTGGAGATGCTGCTCGTTTTTCTTAACGTGACATAGTCTACAATTTTTATGTTTTGCGTTCTGACCGTTGAGGAAAGCGCAGTTATGCCATCAAAAATACATTTGAAACGTTTATCCGCCACCTCAATCATCAAGTCGCACGAGACATTAAGACTGTGACGTCAAAAAACGTAATGGAGCTATTAAGGGTTTACGGAAACAGTCGAGCGTGTGGTCGAAACTATAGAGTGTAATTTTTAAATTTTGGACGTAAATAAACAAAAAGTAACAGTAACTCGGGTCTTATAAAACCAATACTGTATTTGAAGTACTCTAATGAATACATAGCATTTCTAATGTACCTTCTTGGGTCTTTTCGGCAGGCTCAGAAAAGCGCGGCAACCATGAATATGTTCCCGAACTTTCCGGAAAGGCGCGAGAAGATGCGATTGCTTAAAACGGTACCGGACTGGAAAATTCCTAACTGCATGGCAGGTGCTCATTCATTTGGTCTACTGACCTTTCATTTTTTATCTCGAAATTGAATTACAGTATAAAATTCAGAATTCCTTAAGCATACTGTAGATCACTAAATTTTCGCGACACCTTACTTTCGCGAGATAGTCATTGACTCTTGATTAGCGAGACAAAATTTTCACGAATTATGGTTATTGGTTATTACAATCTTACGAAATATTATTATACGCGAGAATTAAATTTTCGCGATCATACTGTCTCGCGTAATTACGCGAAAATAAAGTTCTCGCGAATAAAAAGTGATTTACAGTAGTTAGGAGTTATGCCATCGCCGACGTGAAGCCCACTCTTAGATTCACCATTCTAAATTGTAATCAGCCCCTCCCCCCAACTCGACCCCCACTGCACCAATGCGAATTCTTATTAATCGATTTAGTGTATAATTTTAGCAATGTTCAGATATCTTCCTTTGTGATTTATTATGCTAAAGTGCTAGCTATTCAATCTTTTTTTTTTAGAATAAGCTTGTTCAAAATAAACAGACTACTGTAATTTCCAATTTACTGCAAATTTATTCTATTTAATAAATCCCGATCTACCCAATAACTTTGAATCGGTTAACCTACACCACGTCTCTTGAATTGAAATCACAATAGTATGCGATAAAAATATCCTTAAACGTGATACTATGTACATCACTTGTTCAGTACGGTAAGTGTCGTTTTGTGCACAGTACGGTTCGCTTTGTGAACGGTACTATTCGAATACATATTCGAGTAAGTGATATAGCTTTTCGAAAAGGTTATATCACTCATTCGAATAAGTGATATCACCTTTTCGAATGGATGATATCACCAATGCAAATCAAATTGCAGGTGATATCACTTATTCAGAAGCTGAATAGGTGATATCACTTATTCAGAAGCTGAATAGGTGATATTACTTATTCGAATAGGTGTTTTCACCAATTGAATAGGTAATATCACCAAGTTGGTGAGATCACTGATTGGGATTAAGTACCAAAACGGCACCTCATAGATGTTTAAGGTGCGGCACTTTGGGGCTCAACATGCTACTCATACACTAAAGGTGCCCTATTTCTAATGTCTGCCGATACCAAGTCCAAGAACTTCACCTTTCTAACTTTATTATAGACGATGATAAATCACAATCAACGTGAATATCAAGAATAGCTTAACGAGTCAAATTTGAGCCGGAAGTGGCCGATAGAGCATCGGGCCTCCAAACTGATAGGAGGAAAAAAGACATACATTGAATTATGACTCCAGATGAGTTGCTAGTAATTGATGGACAGGTGTTTTTCTTGAAAAAATAGACATGCTACAGCTAGGTTACTTAATATTGATGTAAACAAATTTATCAATACGGGGCTAATAGATTCGAGGCATTAACACATGCTGAGTATCAATTCTTTTCAGTCATTTTAAAGTTTCAGTGGGAATGTTTTTATTCTACATAAAAAGAAATGAGACACGATCAATCAAATGTTATTTTTGCTTGGTGATATCATCCTTTTGCTTCCTGAAAAATATGTCCTCTTTTCTTTTTATAGAAAGGAACACGCTCTAGTTAACCTTCTTGTCAAAAGTATACAACAATACATGATTTATATTCGACATGTAAATATATGTAGATACACAAAGAAGATAATAAATGAACAGTTGTTAAGCAGGCTGCAGTCTGTCGGGAAACAAAGACATACGCGCCTAACGCCATTTATTATTTTGAATAAATATTTTAAAACTGGATATTCAATAGTTCATTGTTTTTACTCTCAAAAGCAGTGATTGGTACTAGAATATGTACGTAGCGGAAGGTCAATTCATTTCTTTTTGTTGTGGATTCCCTGAGTCAAGAATGAAATCTTTTTGGTTTCCGTACGCCCAAACGTGTATTTGCCGCCTGCATGCATAGAGTGAGCAAGATATTTTTCGTAGCTCTTCAGAGATGTCTGTTTTATTTTTTTTAATCATATTCCGGATGGAAAAAGCCATAAAACCAAAATCTATAAGAGAGGTCAACGGACCTATGACTACTCCAAGAATGGTAATTCCCCGTGCAGAAATCCGTAGCATTGCCAATGGAATCATTGTTAGTCCCTTGGCCATTCGAAATATCCCGGGTAAGCTCTGAACTGCGGAAAAATCAAAAGCCTCAAGTTCTTGTCTACGTTTCATGTCATTTGCTATATCGTCAAGCCTTTTTATTTGATTTGAAAATTCTTCTAATTTTGATTCTACCGTTTTAGATAGTTCTTGAAAATTATTTTGATATCTTTTCAGAACTTCAAGTGTGTTTTTGTTCAGAATAGTTTCAGTAAATTTGGCTCCTAAAGTCACAGTTCCACCGGTAGCTGCAAGCACACCACCAGCAACAGCTAAAGCAACCGAAGCCCCTGCTGTTATAGGAGCGATTCCAATTCCGACTGCAGTAAGAACAGCACCTAATATACCAGTGCTAGAACCCGAAATCGTTGCAATATTGACGTTTCGACGACGAAGTTCCAGTTCTTGAACGATTTTGTCACAAGTTTGCTGAAGAAGGTAATTGCTTTTTAGCCACTGGTCAATACAATCCATGATTATATCAATTAGGGTCTCCATTCTTCTCACATGCCTTACAAATGACCCATCTGGAAATGAAATATCAATTTTAATTCGTTTAGAAACCATCATGGTATACTAAAAAATAAGTATTTATCTGTACATAAAATCGAGTTTGAAAATTACTTATGATAGTAAAAAAGCAAGAAAAAAACAAACCTTTAAAAAATATGGCTCATTTTTATCTCAATTGAAAAATTAAAACTTATGTCATACTGAATGCTGCACTGAACAGATGTTGCTTTAGAGTGATTAATTTCACACATAGCTTTTTCTTATAAACGACTGCGTTTACCTGCATTCGATAGAAGAGACACAGGGTCCTGCTCTTCGGATGGAACTTTTGGAACAGTCAGTTCGCAATTACATTCACTTGTTTTAGCAACAATTCTGTAGAATCTTTTTGATTCGGCCTCTAATAATGTTATGAATTCTGTCTGACTGTCCTTATTTCCATGTCTATCAGCTCTCTGCCGCAGAGGAAGATACTCCTTCCAGTAACTTTTTGTAGATAAATTTGATTCGGTAAATCGTAACACATAAATTTTTGTTTGTAAAAAAGAAGATGCAGCTAACATTAACAAGTCCCCCACTGGCAAATCGTCCTCTATACGTGTAACAGCGTATTGGACCAATTTCAGTTTTTCCTTTTCTGTACCTGCATATTTACCAAATATTTTTTCATAAGTGTCTTTTATATTGTCTTCTACATCTTGCAAATAGACATTTTGATTCTGTTGAATCTCGGAGGTAAGCTCCATTAGAAGCAGATCAACATGCTGCGCAGTTCCAAATATTTCCTTACTAAGGCATCGAAGTAGTGAATAATCAGTGTATTCTACAGAGTCTATTGTTCTTTCTTTCATATCTTGTCTCTGTAGTATTGTTCGAAGTCCAGAATAAGGTGAACAAGGTGGAAAATCTCGCACTTCATCGCGGTAAAGAGTGTAAATTAGTTCGCTGAAATACCTTTCAAAGACTTTGTGTCTGTCCTTCTTTTTAATGTATAATTTTACGTCAGAATTGGAATTGCCATCTAAAATCATATACTGATATTTATACATTTTTGAAATGTAACTTTTTATATTTACAGACAAATTTACTTATACATTTAGATTTCATTTGCGTTTAATGTATGTATATATTCAAAATTTATAAAAGAATCCAATATTATTAAAACAAATTAATAGTAGTACATTTATAAAATAAAAATATTAGCTGGTGTGAGAATATATTAAATTTTTACCATCTTCAAAATGTAAAAGGGAAAGTGGGGGTGGAAGAAAACAGTTACATCCACTAATTGGTATAATTCGGTCAATGGTTTTTTTCGAGTGGTTGTAAAACAAAGTGATGTAAAATCTGCAACATCTATTTGTCCGTTTCTGGTCACTTGGTTCAAATTGTTTCCAGTAGAATGATAAAGATGAACCATCATGTTTCATGTTGAAGACATAGATTGGTAAGTTAATAATATCACAGACTTTCTTGACATCCTGTTCAACGTCATTTGCTTCGTCTAAATCTTTAGTCATACTAAAAGCAGAAAACATGTACATAATGTACATGTAAATAATGTTACATGTAAAATTTTAAAAAATTTGAAATATTTAACAGGAGACCCAAGGGGCTACTTTGCTCACTTGAGTACCGTGGCTAGGAGGAAAGCAAAAAAAAGTAGCAGTATTGAAAAGCTTAAATACAACAGTGGTCCCTACCTAGACCTACCTAGACCTGAGAGGGAGGGGTGTATTTTGAATAAAATTGAATCTACACTTATTAAGGATGTTAGCATATTTTTTGACTGACTGAGCCTTTTTTCTATTAGTTTGAATTTTCATTGTGGCCCAAACTCATCCCCTGGAGTCATGATTTGAACAAACTTGAATCTACACTATCAGAGAATGATTCCAAATAAATATTACCAACCATGGCTTTGCTATTTTTTGAGAACAGAATTTTTGAAGAATTTTCTTATATGCTCCTATGTTAAACTTTTATTGTCCATTATGGCCCATCCTACATTTGGTGATCAGAATTTAAACATACTTGAATCTACACCATCTGAGAATGCATCCATATTAATATGACCAATTGTAGCTTTGCTGTTCTTGAGAAGATTTTTGAAGCTTTTTCCTATATACTCATAGATTAAATTTTATTCGGTCATTGTGGTCCCATCTTTTGGCTCAGGTGAGCTAAAAATAAGTTCTTCTAAGCCGTTTGCGGTAGGATTTACAAGAGAAATTGTAATGTCCTGTCTCATACTTTAAACAACAGAGTTGAAGATGTAGATACATGTCAGGAACAGTGATCGATCTAAAAAAATCTTTGTTTGTATGTTGTTTTACGTCTTTCTCGAGAAATTATTGAATCAAACGTTTTAATGAACATATTTGTCGTGGTAAAATGGAATGACCTGACAACCCCTACAAATAGAACACCCTGTGTGTATACAAACTTGGAATGCTGTGATTCTAGGTCGTTCTTGTTCACCTGTAATACAGAGAAGAAGCCTTATAAGAAATACGGGTAAAGAAAGGTTTTAGTTCTAGGAAAGGTACGTAAGCATAAATTCAGTGGCACAAATAGAGCTGAAGCTAATTTGGTTGTTCGCTTATCCTATTATTTTATTGAGTGGTCGTCCACTGTTACTGGTCATAACACTGACATAAAGTTAGGGAAAATAGCTAGTGCTGGAGATAGTGGCCCGAATAGAGCCGACCTGTATCAAGTGCTAGTCTATTTAGTTTACGAAACATTATTTACTTTGTAAAGGTCTTTTATTCATCATTGATCCACTTTTCGATTTCAGCTGCAGGTAGGGACACTCAAATAAATAAATATAAATCTAATCTGTGAATGAGGAAAAAAATTATTTAGCTAGCCAAGGAGGTTTTTACGAACTTATTGTAAAGATTGACGGCAATATAGTGCCATTACAGTCAGGATTTAAACAGACCTGAATCTACATCGTCTGAAAATGCATCCATATTAATATGACCAATCGTAGCTTGGCTGTTCTTGAGAAGATTTTTGAAGATCTTTCCTATATACTCCTAGATTAAGTTTTAATAGTATATTGCGGCCCCATCCTTTGGCTCAGGTAAGCTAAAAATAAGCTCAGAAACAGTGATCAATCTCAAGAAGTCTATTAACAGTTTTTTTTGTCTGTATGTTGTTTAACGTCTTTCTCGAGAAATTTTCACTTATATGGGGACACCGCCACTTGCCGGTGGAAAGCTGCAAAATTTGTCCTTACTTTGTCCTTACAGCCTCTGAGCAGCGAAGGATTTTTCCGTGACAACACCTAATGCGACACTGGGCACGGTTTATACGGTCTCATCCGAATGACCGGTCTCCACGTCCCACAGTGGGATTTGAACTCGCGACGTAAGGATAGACTCCTTACATAGTCACTCTAGAGCAGACGTTCTAACCATTACGAAACGCGGGCTACCACAATGGAGCATTGCATCAATATCGGAATATCTTATACCACAATACTAGTATTTACATTTCCAATGTCTTTGTCCGAGATAAAATTACAAATTGAAAATGTACTTTATTTCCCCATCAATGTATTGGTCCGGTTCCAAAAAAGCCAAGTGCAGGGCGGAACAAACACATGGACAGACGCAGGGCTTGGAGCTCCTGGATTGGCGGAAGCAAAGCATGTAAATATAAGGAATAACTGTCAGATATTTCAATTTCATGACGATGATCAATCGATTGGCTTGCGTGATAATTTTGTGCATAAATGCCTTTATGCAAATTATCACGCAACGAAATCGATTGATCACATCATGAAATCGAAAAATAAGACAGTTATTCCTTAAATTAATTCTGAAGACATTGGAGAAAGAGAAGTTACGGTATTCAATGTATAACGACCATATTTTGTACCTAATCAATGAATGGTCCAATATTTTTTTTTATCATGGAAGCAATTTGAAGATGTTATTAAATAAAAATGCCCCACCAGAGGAAATTGTCAAATTTTGATTATTGACCAATTAATTGCACCTTGAATTTATTTTATTGAAGTCTGTGGGCAGTGCATGTTCTTATAAGTTATTGTAAATGGTAATTTGAGCTTGAAACAAATCTCTTAGTAAAAATATGCGCAAACTTTCTCCTTTATTAAACTATGCTATGAAATGAAATATCTACCGCATATATTGTGACAAATTAAAAAATAATCCTTTTTTCAGCAAGGGCAGATAATTTTTCAAAATATATTAAGGAGCAACATGAGCAACTTCTTACATGCTACGTCTTTTTTTTTCTATATTTATTGTTATCTAGCAATGCACAGCATTTTTAACAAGTTTAAAATCATTCAAAATTGTTCTTTATCCCTTCCTTATATATTGAATACCTTAAGAAGCAATGTTTTCTAGTGAAGTTTGTATTTATTTACTCTTTACAAAATTTCATTGACAACTTGTTTGAAACATGCATCTAAAAATTATTAATATGCCTTCATTATCACAAATAAGAGGAAGGGGATGATTATTCCGCTTAGGCAATTGATTTCACCAGCTGGGGGTTCGTGTTTTATGCCCCGTTCACAGTTTTATCTTATCAATACTAATTAGCTCGCTTCGTGTTTGGTTCAGCTCCGACTGAATTCGATAAAAATTATCGGCAACAGGCATTCTGAGAGTTTTGCATAAGCAATACATGTCCACTACCGGGTTCCTTTTTTCTTTTTAGGATGTCATTTTATAATATTCTGTATATGAAACTGTCCCCTCCAAAATGTGGACATTTCGATAATTATTTGTTTATGAATGAAATGTCTTGGAATTAAGGTTTCATCAAAGGTTGTGCATGCTTTAAACCTATAACATAATCCACACAAAGTCGAAAATTTAACTCATTTTTAACGTCTTTTTCTCGCTTCATATTTATCATGTTGATTTTCGGAAGTAATAAGCAGTTAGAGTTATCTCCAGTTTATTTTCTTTGCAACAATGTATATCTAAATTTTTCAATACACAGAACGCATTCTGTCGTTAAACCGTTGGTCCATAGGATATATTTATCATTTTAACGATAGAACTTTTTATTTAGTTCGTCGCTATAAAGCTACCCAGCAAGTATTGAGAAATTAATAATTTATAACAAGAACCCGATTTTAAAACATATTATAAAATTCAAAATTCCATAATCCCGTTGAAAATCAATGAAGCGAAACGAAATTCACACTTGATCTGTAACTCATTACGATACACTCACAAACCAAAAATCAGTTCAATATCTGCAAGTGTTTAGAAAAAAAGGAGGAAAACAAGTGGGACAGATTATTTATACACTGAATTGACGATAGAATTTTCCGTTATTTCCTGATCATAACAAGAAGCACGAAGCGAGTGCAACAGGTCAGCAGGGATGCTCACTCCTCCATGGCACCTGATCCCACCTCTGATGTTTTGGAGGTCCGTATTTGCTCTGCTCCTGTTTTGTATTGTGTTATGGCCTTTGATCTTGAATACTGTTTGTTATCTCCATGGGTTCACTGACAGACAGACAGATGCACAGACAGAAAAACTAAAAGACTCAGAGGAAACCTGTAGTCCCCTCCCGTTTCATCGACAGAGGACCAATAAGTGTTACTGAAAGTGTTTAGAAAAAGTGGAAAACTTTTAAAAATTAAAAAAGCCATATTTCCCTAAATCATTCAAGCGGAACGAAATTCAAACGTGATCTGTAACTTATCAATAAACAATCACATGACAAATATCAGCTTTATAGCTGCATGCGTTTAGAAAAACAGGTTAGATGTTTTGATTAGTAATAAAGTATGGAAGTAATGTATACCCCAATCCTAAATCAATGACTTCAAAAATAATATACCTTGTAAAGGTACTTTCATTTTCAAATAATTCTTTCGCCAGTGCATTTTTCAGGGTTCCAGATCCCCCATTTATTTCATCAATTTGCCGTTTTTCTATCGAAAGTCTAAAGCAAGCAGTTTGTTTCGCTTCGTCTGGTGCAAAGCAATCTGTTCTTTC